TTCTTCGTTTTAATGCTCCTCCTCCTATCACAAGTGCATCTAACCTGTTACAAAGCCGTAATAATCAACTCAGGGTAGTGATCACACAGATAAACAATGGAACAGAAGAGAGCTTAGGAACAGGGCCGCGGGGCAGGGATGGTCTTTTCGGAGGAAGGTGCCGTCCCCCGGATATCCACTCAGGGAAAAAACTTGTTCTGACTCCCTACTTTACACAACTCCCCCTCCTCCAAATCAATCCCAGTGGACTAGAGAGCTAAATATAAAGCTTCTAAAGAAGTCACAGGCAAATTATCTTCATAACCTCGAGTAAACAAATATTTCCGAAACAGGAAACAAAAAGTACTAACCAGAGGAAAGAGCTGGTAAGCTGGACGATACAAACACAGACCCTCTGTTTATCAAGAGACAGGGTAAGAGAAGAAAAGGCAGCCGGAGGCTGGGAGAAGGAAGACACAGGCCACGCACCTGCGAAAGGCCTCGCACCCAAAGGGTAACTTCAAGTGAAAAAAGAAAAAGAGCCACAACTCCAACTGAAAAAGAAAAAAAGAAAAGGTGAAGTATTTGAACGGGAACGTCACACGGCCAATGCTGAAAAGGCGATCCAGCTCATCGGTCATCGGATAATTAAGAGGGTAATCTTAAAAGTTCTCATCACAAGAAGAAATTGTAATTATGTGGTGTGATGGCTGTTGACTACTTATCTGGCAATCACGTCTGTCACATATACATACGTCACGTCATTATATTGCACTCCTAAAACTGTACGATGCTATACGTCAATTATCTCAAAACCGGATCAAAACCATTCAAGACGAAGCACGATGGTAAGGCGGCGGGTGCTCCGGTTCTTCCTCTCAGCACCGCCAGGCCTTCGGGTAAACAGGGAATTAAGTTCCGAGACCATCTTCCTTGGTTACAAAGTTAGATTCTGCTGAATTGCATGGCACTGAGCAGGAGTGGCCACCCTGCCAGCAGCAAAAGAAGCTAAGGAGGAGGCCGGGCAGTGGCTGGCGCTGCCTGTAATTAACTCCAGGCTCTGAAAGAACCGAGGCCAACAATCCCAAGGCCTGGAGGAAACCAGCTCCAAACAGCTTCCCGGAGCAGCCATCGGAAGGGGAGCCGGTGCCATCGGGGCCAAGCACGTGGGGACGAAGGAGCACACGATGGACCTGCCGCCATGAGGTCCGAAGAGCCGACCCTCCCTCCGAGGGGAACACCAACTACTCAACAGGAAATCTCCCGGCGGTGGGGGGGGTGGGGAGGCTCCCCGCTGTTTTTCCCACAGGAAGAGCCTGCTGCTGCTGGTTCCAGCCTTCTACGGGGTGACCCTGAGAACCGCAGAGCAGGGCAACCCCACGCCCAGCTTAAGGACAGGCGCTCCCCACACGCCGCCTGGAAAAACCTCAATGGACACATCAAGGAACTCGCTAGTCCTTCCCTAGCAACGACACCGTTTTAGCGCGCTTGTTGTTGGGGTATCTTAGAACCCAATGCCTCACCTCTACACGAAAAACAGCAGATAAAAAACCAAAACACGGCCGCCCATTTTCAGCCTAAAAGAATTTTAAACCGCGCTCTCATGACCATAACTGTACTCAATTACTCGAACTTCAGAGTTCTCACTGAGTCTTCAAATGGCGGGATAAGAAAGCCATTGATTCTCTTAGATTTTAGCCAAATCCTCAACAGTGAGGACTGTGCCTGACGCTCAGGATTCTGGGCCCTGGTGCGTTGCCATTATGACATACCCGCGACTCTGGGGGCATCGGCAAAGGTATTCAGACTTGAGCTGAAGGTCTTACGTCTGAATACTGGATCCAACTCATTATCCCAAGACTGTGCGATACAAGCCTGTGACCCGTCTATTGGAGGGCACATGAGAGAGCTTTCTCGCCAACGCTCAGAAGACCTCTTCCACCAGGGCTTGTCCCAGCCCACCCAGGATGAACTGCATGACCAGAAACGCCTGAATACTTCAGGGATGCGTGGATGTGCCCAAAGAGTCCCATTTAAAACTACTTTATAGAGATATTTCTCAATCCGGGCAGAATACTTACCACAAAGTTTGAGGTTAAATGGTTTCTCTATTGGAAATAAACTTTGGAAAATATACCACTGTAACTGCTATTGCTGCTGATCATCGGAACGCACAATCGGCAAATAACGTACTGGGGACATGCAACAAGGAGGCCCCTGGAATATCGCTCCTCCCCCTCCAGGACTTAAGCCTCCACCAGGACACAGCCCCGTGATGACCGGCAGGGGCCTGGATAGCTACACTACAGCGCATCCAGACAACAGGAGCCTATGCCACTGTAAACACAATGAAGAGCGAAAAGGCAAAGCGATGCCTACAATACAGCTTTTGTCCACTAAGTAGAAGGACGCTAAGAATCTGTGTTTTTATTTCCTCTGATAAACATGCATCAAGTAACGCAAAAGCAACTAAACACAATGGTGACTTCTGGGAGCATGCTGGAACGGATGAGATGGAGAATGTGTGTACTGTCTCTTTTTAAAAAATATATATATTTTATTGATTTTTTACAGCGAGGAAGGAAGATGGATAGAGAGTAGAAACATCTATGAGAGAGGAACATCAACCAGCTGCCTCCTGCACACCCCCCACTGGGGATATGCCCGCAACCAAGGTACATGCCCTTGACTGGAATCGAACCCGGGACCCTTCGGTCCGCAGGCCGACGCTCTATCCACTGAGCCAAACTGGTCAGGGCAGTACTGTGCCTCTTTTTATACTTACTTGTAGTTTGAACAATGTGAATGCATTAAATATATTTTCTTAAAAGACTGATTTCTTTTTCTTTATTGATTTGAGAGAGACAGAGGAAGGGAAACAGAGAGAAACATCAGTGTGTTGTTCCACTTATTTCTGCATTCGCTGGTTGATTCTTGTCTGTGCCCGGACAGGGGATCCAACCACAACCTTGGTTTTCTAGATGATGCTCTAACCAAGTGAGCTACCCGGCCAGCGTCATGTATTAAATATTTTTAAAAATCATTTTTTAAAAAAATGTGGAATCTAATGCACAAAAGAAAATAACAAACAAAATGGAAGCAGACTCACAGAGACAGACTGACAGCTGTCAGAGGGGAGGGCGTTGGAGGGCTGGGTGAAGAAGGTGAAGAAATTAAGCAAAAAACCCCCAAAAAACAAAACAAAAAAACCTCATAGACACAGACAGCAGTGTGGTGATGACCAAAGGGAAGGGGGCGGGGAAGTGTAGGAGGTGAAGTGGGGATACATGGTGATGGAGGAGACTTGACTTTGGGTGTGAACACACAATACAGTGTACAGCTCATGTATTGTGGAATTGTGCCCTGAAACCTGTATAATTTTATTAACCAATGCCACCCCAATCAATTCAATAAAATTATAAAATAAAATAAAAAACACCCCCGGGCTCCACGTTTCTACGCACCTGTTTGAGGAATCATCCACCTGGCACTCTGGGTAGATGCTGGAGAAGACCGGAGGGAAGTGATTGCTTGCTGTGTCGGCACCAATGCTCACAGAGGCTTCGGGGAACGTCTTAAGGAAGCAATTGTTTTAAGCACAAAAATGAAAAGAAAACCAACCCCCAGAAAATACTTCCAATGGATGTTTCTGGTTTATAGGACAAGTGAAATTCAGTTACACAGAGAGCACAGAATGTGTGGGTGGCGAAGCCTTCCTGTGCGACGCCGTACTGACACGCAACATGGGAAAATAGCCCGAAACACAAAAACACAGCTGTGACCCAGGAAATGGCACCAGATTAGAACAGTTTTATTATTTAACATACCATCGCATGTACATTATCCCCCAAATAAGAAACAATTTGGTTCCAAAGTTTAAAAGGCAGCTTCCAAAACGAACCCTTAATGTAAGTTTGAAAAAAAGAAAAGTCCTGCAAATGAACACAGTTTTGAGCCTTGATTAAAATATGCCCCCTGGACCAATCACCTCTCTCATACAAAATGTATTTTATAAATAAAACTTTCCAAAAAACAAGATCTTGGATGTTTATTGCACATCATATAGAGTGTTTGCCACCATCTGAAAGGCCCCCAGCCGTCCACTCTGTCATCAGCTGTTTAGAGTATTTGCTCAGATCTGTGGGGAACAGCACCCTGCAGATGTAGGATCATACAGGATGTCTACCAGAAACGGAAAATACAATCTTACCGAGCGGCTTCTGTCATTTTTTTCCTAAAATAAGAACGACTCTGTTTCCTAAAGCAATTACAAGAGATCGGAACCAACGAAAAGTCCTGTTCAAATGTCAGTTTTCTCTCTTCACAGGGAGAGGCGTGTTACCCCGTTGTACATTCCTCCTTCCCAGGACCAGCCCTTCTCGAAGGACATGTTGTGAGAATCACACCAGGGCTCCCGCGTCACGCTGTCCATCTGCAACAGCGACTGTTCTGGTCTCCACAAAACCCCCTCAGCCCCAGCAGAGCCAGCACCAACCAGCCGGGATGCAATGGCCTTAAAAGCAAACAGACAAAAATCCCCACTAACGTTTCCTACCCTCGAGCGCAGTCTCGCAGAGGAGGCATTCAATAAATAGTTGGTGAGTGAGCGAGCTGTCTTGCAAGACTGTTTCCTATACTTGGATGTATTAATGATGTATGAGTAATACGTTGATTTAGGGTACACAGATCTAACACGATGACTAACCAAAGGACACAGAGGACACGGCGCGGACGCCGTCGCTGCTGTAGTCCTGTCCCGGGGTCGCACACAGAAGGTGCGCTCTCAGGGTTAAAACTATTCCAATAATAAAAAGTGATCAGCCGGACATGTTTATTTCGCCAAGGGGCTCTAACGGTATTGGCCTTTGACAATTCCCAAACATACGACGAGCCCCGAACCAAACCAAACCAAATTGCACTATTACAAAGAAACGAGTCCGTGAGAGCAGGGGCCGGAGGGTG